TTGCGCACTTCTTGTTGTGGGTCAGAAATTGACCTCGTAGGGTTGGATTTTTCCTGCTTTGTTTCTAAATTCCCGTCACCTGAGTCACCAGCCAAGCTTCAGCATCTCTGACAAATCATTTATATTGGTTTCAGCAGGACACAGCATGGTGTTCACCTGGCACAACAGAGGAGCTCACTTGTCCCACGTCACTCGTGCTGCTGCAGGAGCGCCTGGGCCGGCGTCCCACCCTGCCAGAGCTGCAGTGTGACAGCTGCTACTGCAGGGAGCCTGTGTTCTGATGGCAGTGCATAGCTGAGAACATAGCAGCACAACCACAAAACAGCAGTGACTGTCCTCCTCCCTGGGCAAAGCCTCTTCCGTGGATGATTGCCCAAACCCACCATCCCTCCACAGCGCTGGCTGCGGAGGAAGAGACACGGACCCTGCCCTTGCCAAGGAGAAGGATGAGCTCTAGCTCTGATAGCAAGGGCTTAAACACTTCCCAAATATTTGAACCCTGAGGGTTGTTTACAGCCCGGAACCAAGGACGTCCAGTTGTTATCAAACCAGCTGTAATTTTCAGGGCAGAATATAACGTCGTGTGGGCTGAGCTCAAATTGACAGGCACTGCAGATGTTGCAATTCCACTTGTTAAAATTTGTTTACCAGGGGAGGAAAAGAAAAGGCAGGATGGAAGACAGGAACGTCTTTTCAAGTGTTTACCTTTCCAGCTCTCTTGTTTCTATTATTGCCATGTGGTTGGGTAACTCTAGAGTTCAGCTTGGACAGCAAATTTTTTATAACTCCCTTTTTTTGGTTGCTCATAATTTTCTCACCAACAAAGAACTTCCTTCGGATGATTTTCATTACTCTGCCTCCAAACAAAGCACTTTAGAGCCAAATATAAACACAGCAGGTGATTACTTTGCTATGCTGTCTCCTTGCCTGACTGCAGTGATAGCAGTCATCTGCTCAGCATGTCCAACCTTGGACCAGGTGTCCTGTCACACCATCCCAACAAAGCTCCAGGGATTTCCCTGGCATTCAGCATTCCCTTCTCCCCTTGCAGCAGGCAGGGATATGGGGCACAGGGTTCTTGTGGTACCTCTTGACGTGATTCCAGAGCAACTGCAGACCCCAAACCCTCTCTTTGCCAAGTGCAGCATCCAGTGCTCGAAGGGACCCAGAATGGTTGGCACCACCAAGTGAGGAGAGGGCAGCACGATCTGAAGCTGTTACATTCGATAGACGAGACCATCGAGGCTCAAACTTCTCTTCTTGTGACAAAGAGAAGTTTCTCCTGTAAAATTCTCATTTTGATCTCCAGCCTCCTTTCTCCTCTAAAAGCCACAATCCAAGTTTTCTCGCAGGCAACATCCTTTTCTTTTTTTTTTTCCCCGTTCGCTCAAAGGAGCAAACATATTTTATCACACATCTTTCCCCTCCCTTCCCCTTCCTCTGAAATGTTTGTATGTTCTCATCCCAATGACAAACATCCGTCTCGGGCTGGTTTCTGTTTTGCAAGCCCCTACCAAAGTGCCCTAGAGCCTGGCTGCTCCTCCACTCCCAGCTCCCTCCTGTTTTACCCTGGAATATTTGGCAGTGGGAGCTGCCTGTGCTCAGCCAAACAACTCGCACTCGAATCCAGGTGGAATGAGAGATTTTTTTTTCAAGCTGAGACAGATTTAGATCAAGCAACAAATAACGAAAAAGTCATTGATCCACCTGCCAGCGCCGAGCCTGCCCCAGGCTCTTGGGAGGAGGCAGCGGCATTGGACAAAGGCTGGTGCATCCCTGGCATTGACAAGGGAGAAAAGGACCCTGAGGGCGAGTGATGTCTCTGCCCTGACAGAGAGGAAAGGGAGGGTCCTGTGCAGAGGATCTGATCTCCTGAGTGGGCATTTATCCACACAGACCACACCACTGCAAGCATGGACAGCACTAAGGGCGTTGAGTGCAGGCTGGTAGAAGGGCAGGTTGGGCAGCAGTGGGTTGTCTTCTTCTGCTTTTCAGCAGACTTTCCTCAGACTGCTCACAAGAACTCTCTCCATGGACCTTGGAAGTGGGATTTCTGAGGGAGATGCACGGTCAGCCACACAGCTCACACCAGCTGTGAAGGCAGGTGGCAAAAACACTCAGGTGTACACACACAGAGCCCCTGCAAACAGAGAGGAAGGATCCAGGGATTAAGGCCTTGGGTTTGCCAAAAGACTGGGAGTGAGGGGCCCATGGAAACAGAGAACCCAGGACTCCAGGCACTTATCACCTACAGAGTTTCCAAGGCAAAATTATCCCAGGTGGTTTCTCAGGGCCCCCCCAGCATTCGGGTTTGCAGTGCCAGTGTTAAGGCTGGGAGCTCCAGAACCTTTAGGCACTAGATATTCATGGCATGTAGCACCAGGATGAAGGAAAATAGGAAAATAATTGTTCCTGTAGTGCATCAGCCTGTGGCACTGCCCTGGCACTTCAGCCAGGCCACTCTGAGGATTTAGCTGAAGACAACTCTCATCACAAACTGGAGCTGGTCCAGGAACTGGCAGCATTTTCAATTTTTTTTTGCAAGTAAAGATAATAAACCATGACTAACAGGATGATTTTGAACTCAAAGCCTTCTTTCTGCTGCTAAGGCTCCAACTCTGATTGTGTCCTCAGATAGCACCCAGTGCCCAGGAACAACTGTTGAAGCCACACAGTGGGCTGGGCCCAGGGTGAGAGCTCTAGGGTGTTTCTTGAAACTTCTTTCTTAAGCATGTTCATCCCCAGTCACCTGGCAGTTGTGAAGGTGGAGATCTCAGGGAAACTCCTACATTAATGTGGAATTCCTGAGAGAAACAGGAGCTCTGGAGCTGCTCTGCAGGCACTAGTGCACCCTGCACGTGTCTGATGGGGCAAGAGAGGGAACCCTATAAGCCCTCTCAGCATCCCAGCCAAGGCTGTGCTCAGCTTGAAGGATGCCCTGGACCACAGCTCAGGCCATGGGAAAAGGTCAGCTTGCACCTCCACTGACCATCTCTGTTTTGTCCACAGGCACCTGCACAACAACCGGATCCAAAGCCTGGGAGCCAACGGCTTCGATGGGCTGCACAGCTTGGAAACCCTGTGAGTCACCTGGTTTATTCTCCACCCTAAAGAGTGTTCATCCCCCACAGAACAGCCTGCAGGAAAGGGGGGGCAGCCCCACTGCGTGTCACTGGTCACCATGTGCTGAGGGCAGCAGCAGGGCAGGCTCCAGGCACCAGCACGTGCCCAGGGCACAGGATCCACTGGGGAGTGAGAGGCTGGACCTTCCCCCTGCAGCCATGCAAGCTGGTCTGGCTGTGCTGCTGCTGCTGCTGCAGAGGGGTCTGTGCATGTGGGCAGAGTGGCTGGGAGGGGGCTCTGAGGCCCCTGGCACCAGTCTAGTCCGAGGTGCAGTCCCACAAGCTTGAATTGCACGCCCTGCTCAGGGAATGTGTCCCCTTCCTCACCACATGCAGGTGGTCCAAAAGCCTCCTCGACACCTGACAGCCGAAACAAGGAGCTTGGCTTGAGTGAGGGGTCAGTAAAGTCCTCAGGGATCTCTGGGGTATCCCTGTTTGAGGTGGTCTCATGTCCCCTGGCGTCACCTGTAGCCAGCTGACTTCATCTTGCACCGTATGCTTGGCATGGCTGGGTAGCAATCCATCAGGGAGGAGGGGAAGCAGGAATGGATTGTCCTCCAGGACACATCTTCAGGAAGGTAGATTGAGACTGGAAGAAATTCTTTACTCAGAGGGTGGTGAGGCCCTGGCACAGGTTGCCCAGGAAGGCTGAGACCCCATCCCTGGAGATGTTCAAGGCCAGGTTGGACGGGGCTTGGAGCAACCTGGTCCAGTGGGAGGTGTCCCCCATGGGTGCAGTGTGGAACAAAATGAGCTTTAAGTGAACAAGGTGAGCTTTAAGGCGCCTGCCAACCAAAACTGTTCCATGATTAGATGCAGGCAGCTCACCCTGAACTCGAGGAGAGTTAAATCTGGCAGCCTGGCCTCACGTACCCTGCTCTGTGACAGCTGCATGAATGGCCAGGGCCTCGTGTGCCGTGCGTTGGCCCAGGAGGAAACACAAACAAGCGAGAAAATAAATCGAGGCTCTGAAAGACTGGAAGAGGTGGCTGATGCCTTCAATTGTGCAGAAACATGTCCCTTCGTGCAGGCTTGGGGTCAGAGTCAGGCCCTCGCTCCCTGCCAGGGAGAACCAGGGGGTCTGGTTCGTGGCAAAAGGAGGTGCTGCTTCCCAGCATTCAAGTGCCACTCAAGGAGACAAGGCCCCTCTGTGCCCAGCACGGTGCCAACAGCAGCTATCAGGCGAGAGTGGCAGCAGCAGGCAAGCCCTTGGTCCCCAGACACGCTCCTCGGGGCAGGACCACGACATGCATTGTCTCTTCCTTTCAGACTGGCAGATCCTGGGGCCACCCAGAAGGGCTCAGCTGGGGAGAGGTTGAACTGTGCCAGGGGTAGGAGGCTGATGGATGGTCTCCTCTGGTGACCCACGGGTCCCCCATCACTGTGCCAGCTTGGCTTCCTCCCCGGTCGTTTCTGGTGGTCACAGAGCCATGGCACCCAGGCAGCACAAAGGCAGGCGAGCTGCAGGAGGAAGCAGAGAACTCACTGATGGAAGAAAACCTTGTTTGAGCTAAAGCAGTGGCAGCCCGTGCAGTAACATCACAGCCTGCACTGGGGCAACCTTCCTCTGCAGCCAGGGTGGTTAAAGCAGTCCTGCTGCCCACCCCGAGCACGATGCAGCCGCAGAGGAGAATCTGGCCCCTTATTTGCCGTGGGAAAGGCTGCAGGATTCCATTGCCCTGGGAGATAATTCTGTTTCCACAGACGCTCGTGCTGAAAGCTCATTTTCCCTCTCTTCCCTTCTGGTCCCCCTCTAGCACTTTTCCCATCCAAGGTGCCACCCAGCACTTGGGGAGAGCAGCATCTTGCTCCCAGTCCCCGCAGGGACAGGACTGGGCAGAGCTGTGGGGACATGGCTGCCTGGAGGGCTGTGGCACTGCAAGTCCTGTCTGCTGATGCTGGTCAGGAAGCCCTGGGAGCATCTGGCCTCCAAGGGTTGTCCCCTTGGAGCAGGGCTTTGCCTGTGTCCAGGCTCTGATGGAGCACTTGTGTGGGGGACTGTCCCACAGCCCCATCCTGCACAGCTGCCTGAAGGTGCAAGGACAGCACTGCAGGGGAGAGCTCCAGGCTCAGCCTCCTCTCCTCCACATCTGATGGCTCTGAAGGAGTGTCCTCCAGAAGAAACGAGCTGCCTTCTGCTTCTCCTGGCCTGAGCATCCCATTCTCACCTCCAGGCCAGCCAGCATTCCGAGCCACTGATCCTTGAGGAACCCACGTTCCTCGAGGGGCCCCACCCACCTCAGTTAATCCTTAGCACTCACCTGCCTGCTGACCAAAACTGGACAAGCTTTGGGGCAAAAAACTATGGAGTATTGACTGCACCACCCCAGCCAAGCTGCTGGACCTGCATCACCTACCACCCCTCAGCGCTTGTGCATGTGGAGACAATTACAGTCTGCACATATATCCTTTAACTCAAATCGTGATTACACTCTGTTGACAGCAGTTTGCACGTTCTCTTGGCTTGTGGAGGCCAAACTGGGCTCTCAGATACCCTGTGGGCGTTACCTCCTAGAAGACAGCAGGATGGTAAGGGCTGGTGAAGACAGAAATTTCTCCAGGGTTCCCAAAATGAGTATTTGTGGCCAGACGCTGATTACAAGCCAGGCACAATAGTTGAAGAAGTGTAGAAGTTGAGAGGGAAAATATTGTTTCAGGTTTTTCTGAAGAGCCTGGGAAGTTTTAGGTGCAGAAACCTCTGTTCCCTTAAGGGAAATACTTCTTCTCATATTCAGCTAGACAGGAAAACTTCTATTTGTATCAAAGGCAGCCAAAACTCTGAAGGAAGCAGCAGCCAAAACTTTAGGAGAATCAGCAGCCACTGTTCCACACAGGTCTCAGCAGTGTGTAAGCTGTACAACCACACTGGGCTCTACCCCAGGTCCCAGCACTTCTGCAAAAACAGATCCCAGTGGAACATCTCTGTTCTTCGAGAGGGCTTGGCCCTGTTGTTTCAGGAGGGCAACAAGTCTAGAAAGGGGTGAAGCCAGGTGAGCAACTTCATGTTTCCCTTCTGTGCACCTTCTGTGCACAAACCAGCTCTGCCAAGTGCACAGCAAGAGCAGCTCCGTGTTCTCCACACTGATGGGGGGAAAAGGTAGATGTGCAACACCCACCAGGTCTCAACCAGTCAGACACCAGCGTGTCACTGAAGAAAGAAGCTCCAAGAAAATTTTCTCTGTCAGGGCAAGATTTGGCTATTCACAGCCCCCACCCAGCCCCTTCTGCCCAGGAAGGAAAGCTGGCAGGTAGGCTGGAAGTAAGTCAGAACCGCCCTGGCCAGATTCCCAAAAGGGTTTCGAAACAGCCTTGAAACCCAGTGAGATTCCCTCACCAGTTCCCATCAGCCTGAGAGGTGACACAGAGCAACCCTGCAGGGCTGTGGGAAGAGGCCCCAAGCTGTACAGCTGAGCTGTGAGATCAGGTATTAGACAGTAGGGAGTGGGTGAAGCTTGGCATTCCTTAGCCCTTTCCCAAAACCGTGGAGTAAATAAGAGGGTAAATGTCTCGATGTGACACATCCTTCCTGCAGCCCCTTTGGGCAATGGACTCAATCCTTTACACAGTGTGTGAGGTCAGGGGGTGCCCATGGTGTATTGCCATTTGGATGGCAAGAACTTCCACGTTCCCTGCTTATTTTAGACCTGATTTCTCAGACTTTAACAATGCAGGGAGAAGGGCAGGAGGATTTGGCACCTTCCAACACAAGGTGTCCCTCCCCATGGTGAGTGCTTGAAATAAGATGATGAGGTCCCTTCGAACCCAAACCATTCTGTGATTAAACTTCTCGTGTGTCACAAGCCTGGTGAGCAGGAATTATTATGGGAAAGCTGATGTAAAGAGCAGTCAGCTGCAGCCAGGAGCGTCTCTGCAACGACAGGAAACGCTCAGACCTCGTGCTTGGAGTCTGGGGGCACAGAGCTAGGGAATACATTGGAGCAGTAAAGGGAAAATTGCCATCCAGAGGTCTGCCAACACAGGAGCCAAGTTCTCCACTGCTGTATAAGGAAAGTATTTCTAACAGGGAGATCCCTGTGACATGAATTTCCACACTGAGGCTGGTCCCGTGCCCAGGTTTCCTCCTTACCACCTTCACCTGGAAAGCTGAGCAGTGTCCTAAAGCCCCTGAGCTTTGCAGCCAGTCTGAATGCAGTCTAAAGCCTGGTGAATAGTTGCCTCGTGCCTTGTAGAGCTTGACTTTGGCCTCATTAGGTAGATTGTGATAGCACTGAATTTATCCTTCTGAGTCCCTGAAATATGAATGTGTCATGGATCAGGGCTGGAGGTGTGGGGAATGCAGGAAGTCCCTCCACAAAACTAAGCTCCAAATCACTGCTCTATGCAGGGTGAATGGATGGAAGTGGTAGGTGACCCGATACTATTCAGCCAAATAGATACCTAGGTCTATGGAGGGGGAGGTTAGTGCCTCACAGAAGCCTTGGGGAGGGCATCTAATCATGGAAACTGAATTTCAGAGCTGGCCCCCAGGTTCTGGCTCCAAACACAGCATACATGAACCATCATTCAGCATTTCCACCTTACCTGCTGTTAGGGAGCCCTCAGCCCCCGTGGCAGAGGAGAGCAGACCTCAGACAGCAGGCAGAAAGTGCAGCTGAACAGAGGGGGAAGAGGTTCCTCGTGGATCTTCCTACCCCTTTGCCAAAAGAGTGGTGGAAATGACTCATTGAAAATGCCCCTGTGCTGGGATCTCTGCTGTGAGGAAAAGGAGAAGGCATTTCTTTCTCCCATCAGGACCGTTCTGTCCAAGCAGGAAGAGTTGGTGTGGCCCTGAGGGCTGGTTGCCACATACCCAGAGGGAGGAAGGCCTCTGGGTTACAGCCAAAACAGCAATGATGTGCCCCAAAAGTCCTGCTCCTCTCATTATTCGGGCATCTCCAGCCCATCTGTGACAAGGATGTGATGGGGAGCCGGTTCAGGGAGCCCTCCCCCATCCCCTCT